GCGGAGGCCCGCGATGATCCGCAACATATGCCCGAGAACCTCCATCTCTGTGGAAGCTGGAGCTCAGGCGGCCCCGGAAACGGCACGGCCGTTTTTTCACCGCTTCCGAAAAAAATCTTGAAAATGGAAACGGCAACAAAAACGGCGACTGGAAACGGCAAGACAAACTGCTCCAGGGTTGGATCTGAAACCGAAGCCGTTGAAAACACGGCGACGGAACCGGTTAAAACACGGCGTCGGAACTGGCAAAGAAACGGCCAAACGGAAGCGGTGAAAAAACGGCCCCGTCGCTTCCAGGGCCCACTAAAGGCGGGAGCGGGGGGGGAGAGGGGAAGAGGAAGAGAGCGGGAGCGAGGCGCGCGGCCCAAGGCCCATGCCGCAGCATGCAAAGCCTCCCTCCTGGCTCTACCACGTGCACTTCGGAACGTCGGCGTGCCAGCGCGGGCCATGCTGGTGCAGGGAGCCGCCGGCCAGGGCAGAGCCGACGAAGGCTGAGGGCGAGGATAACGCGGCGGCAGCGGCGCCGCTCTGGTAAGACGAAGCCAGGACGAGGATAAACTCGAGTGCGGACAAATCGAGATTCTCTGAGATCTGGCGGCTCTGGAAGATGCCTCGGGCGCCGCGGCCTTCCAGCGCCCCGGAACGCTCTGGAACGGATTTATCCTCGTCCTGGCCCCGTCCGACCTGGCCAGGTAGAGACACGGACGGCACTCGCGGGTGCATGCGCACCGTGGACGGCCGTGACCCTCTCTGACGAAGCAACCCGGTCTCCAGCAGCTCGCACGCAAGGAACACCAGCCTCCACGCCCACGCTGCGCAGGGCCCCGGATGTGGAAGTACCAAGTCCACAGAGGCACGCGGTCCCTGTTCCCCAAAATAAGCGTTTCCACTTAGGGGACCTTCTTTGTCTCTCAAGCAGCAGCTGGGTGGGTTGCCCGAGGTTGCGCCACGCGCCCGCTCGCGGGCGCCCCGTGCCCGCTCGCGGGCCTCTCGCGGGCGCCCCGCGCGCGCGGTGGGCTTCCCGAGGTTTCGCCACGACCTCGCTCGCAGGAGCCTCGCAGCCTGCCCAAGGTAGCCTACGCCGCCTACACCGCCTGGCTCACACCGCACAGCTGACACTGCACTGCGTACACCACAGGGCCCATTCGGAAACAGCTAACACCGCATAGCTCACACAACATAACGCACACCACATAGCTCACACCGCATGAGTTAAACGACATAGCTTACACCACATAGATCACACCGCATAACCCACACAACATGGCTCACACCGCATATACTACACCGCAGGGCTTGCACCATGCAGCATTCACTGCATAGCTCACACCGCATAGCTTGAACCTCCACAGCGCCATATCTCAATGTTCGCGGGGCGCACGATGGCTACCAGTCTTCGCCACAAAAAACGGCACCTAACAAACAGCACAGCGCCTGGTGGGATCATTATTGTTGGATACCCTGAATGTACTTTCGCGCTCTCGCGCCTGCTCCGCGCGACCTCGCTCTGGTTCGTGTCCCGGGGCGTGGCGGCGCCGTCGTCGTCGTCGTCGTCGCTAAAGGATGGTATGGGATTTTGCTGATATGGGGAGAGCCAAGTATAGAAGCCCGACAGATCGTGCGATGGCTGGCCGGGGCCCTCCTCTCTTCCTCTCTCTCACGCGTTGCTGTTTCTGTCTATTTCTGTTTCGCTGTCTCTTTGTTTTGCCACCACCGACATGCTACTGCAGGTCGGGCATGTCCTCCTACAGGCGGAGATTGGAGGAACAATTGAAAAATGTTCACAAATGCTCAGATATACTCAAAAAGAAAAAACTCAAAAAATCGTCCCCGGACTATGTTTGTACCATGTTGGAACATTCCTCCTGCAGAGGGACGTGCCCGACTTATTGCTAGGAAATCACGACGTCACAGGCCATCCCAAAACACCAAGCACCTCGCGCGTCGACAGGGCCACGCTCGCCCCAAGTACTGACGAGAACTCCGCGAGGCCCCGAGAAGCAGCGCTGCCGAGCCCGCGACGCGAGGACACCACTATTCCGCGAGAACGCTGGCTGGATGAGAGCGCCCCGGAGGACGAGGCTGGGGAGGGCAGAAAGCGGATGAGAAGAATGGCGGGCGGGAGGCGGAGGAGGGGGAGGAGGAGGGAAGAGAGAACAGAGGAGGGAGGAGGAGGAGGAGGAGGAGGAGGAGGAGGAGGAGGAGGAGGAGGAGGAGGAGGAGGAGGAGGGAAAGGAGGAGCAGCAGGGAGAAGGGGAGGACGCAGAGGAGTAGGAGGGAGGGAGGAGGAGGAGGAGGAGGAGAGGAGGAGGAGGAGTGCGGAGGAAGGAGGAGGAAGGAGGAGGGGAGGGGGGGAGAGGGCAGAGGAGGGGCAGGAGGGAGGAGCATGGAGAGAGGAGGAGGAGAGTGGTCCGAGGAAGGGGGCGCGCCTTCTGGAACTCATTTCTATTGAGCTCGTCGATGCGGCACAACTCGCGCGGGGCAGACCAACAACAAAATCCACGCACGTGCGTGTTGCCTCCCCTGCCCCTTCGCCTCCCTCCCTCCCTCTTGCATGCGGGTGAGTTCGCGACGCCGTGTCCCGGTCTCGCCCAGACGCGCGTGCGGAGTGCCTCTGCCGCGCTGCGAACGTAAAGAGTGTTGCCCTCCCCCGCCTGTCTCCTGCTCTGGGGGGAGGGGAGCAGGAAAAGCAGGAAAAGGGGGAGGGGAGGAGGGTGGCGGGAGGGGCGGGGGGACGGGGGGGGATCAGTCCGCATCCGATGAGGAACTCGGCTCGGATCGGCCCGTGCGTCGGAGTGGGCTGCGCTGGCACTGAGTTAAAGTCGAATCGGATCGGCTGCGCCAAGATGCGCAACAGCGCCATGTGAGCATCGGGCCGCATCGGATCGCCTGAGTATCGGACAGGAATCGCATCGAGCCAGCCGGAGCCGAGACCGAATCGGATCGATCGAGTCGAAACGGGCCCTGCGAATTGGAGGGGGGAGGAAAAGAGAAGACAGAGAAGAGACAGAAGCAGAAAGGAGTGAGGAGCGTGGCTGCTGGGAATCAAGACCCTTCCCCAGAGCAAGCTCGCGCCGGGCAGAAGCAGCAGATGCAGGGTGTGCCTGCAGGCGTGCGTGCCTGCGCGCACTCGTGCTAAAAACACGCATGGAGACGCACTCGTAACGATCATCGAGTTTCATCGAACTTGGCGGCGCTGCATCAAGCCGTGCACTCCCGGACCCCCGACGTCGTGATTGTTTCACCAGAAGTCTGGACCCCTTCCCAAGGGCTAACTGGTTTTCCATCCTGGATATTCTCGTTAACGGTCCCGGGGCCGGTGAGGGCCCCCGGAGACCGAGAGCAGCGCAAAACCTCCCGTCGTGATTTCATCACGACGCGAGGGGGTCTGGGCACGACCCCACGCGCGTCCCTGGACAGGCCACCATGCACGTCGGGAGGCGGAGGAGGAGGAGGAGGAGGAGGAGGAGGAGCAGGAGGAGGAGGAGGAAAAGGAGGAGAAGGAGGAGGAGAAGCAGGAGGAGAAGGGTCCCGTCGTGACCTCTTCACAGCGCGAGGGAGTCTGGGGTCCTGTCGTCGCGGGCCCGGCGAGCGCGCAGGGCCGCCGAGCGGCGCGCGCACCTCGCCGCACGGCGCGAGGGGGGGGGGCGGCAGCGGGGGGCGCGGGGCGGCCGCGGAGGGAGGCCGAGGCTGCGAGGGGGTCTTCTGTGAGGGGACCGAGGGCCACACGCTTTTTGCCCAGCGTCGGCGGCCAGGCAGAGGGACTGCGCTGGCGGGATGAGCAGATGTAGGGCACGCAGATGCGAATGAGGCCGCAGTGCACGTGAGGCGGAGGAGGAGGAGGAGGAGGAGGAGGAGGAGGAGGAGGAGGAGGAGGAGGAGGAGGAGGAGGAGGCCCGGCGCGGGCGGGAGGGAGGAGAAGCCGGGCCCGCTCAGAGCAGGGCCGGGACGCGGCGGGCGGGGCGCCGGGGCGGCGGGGAAGCAGCGGCCGCGAGGCAGCCGGGGGGGGGCGGCAGCCACCGAGGGACACACACAAGCAGAGGACGCACGAGAAGGATGCTAGGGCCTCGGAGGGCAAACACTCTGCGAGCGGGGCGCGGCCAGCGAGAGCGGCCGAGGACGGGCCGAGGGGGCAGGAATGCAAGGGGCACCTCTGGGAAGGCTGCCCATCCCTGCTGTGCGGGTTGGCTGCAGACACGAATCCCAGGAGGCACCACATTCTCCCGCAATTAAACAATCAGGACATCGCGTGTGTGGGTCTCGATTCCACTCGCCCCCCGTTCCCCTGGCGGGGCCTCCGGCGCCGCGCGAGGGCGGGGTGGGGGTGCGAGTGAGGCAGGGGGGGCCCGCTACCAACAAGAATCCCATACCCAGGATATGGGAGGATGAACGACATCGGCGCGTATCTAGAATGGACATCGGCGCTGGAAATGCGACGACCCATCACATTATGCGGTCATCGCCCCGAACACACTGAGGCTCCACGAGCGGAGGCCACCACCATTAAAAACACATGCAGCAAAACTCGACGTGCCCTGTGCCAACGGAGTGAATACTGCACGCCACGCGCCACAGGGAGCGACTGGTGACGGATAACACATGTAGATCGGGCGACGAGCGGACACTGACCACGGACGACGAGGAGGTAGGGATAGGGATAGGGTAGGGCACTTCCCCCTACGGGCGGATTCTGGGAGAAACATCAAGAACAGTCATAAACAAAATCAATAATAGTGGAACGAAAAATCGCCCCCAGACTATTTTGGGACTACTTTTGAATATTCCTTCTGCAGAGGGACGTGCCCGGCTCGGGGAGATTGGAGGGTGAAAGTGGGGGTCGGGCGCAGGGTCCCGGAAATGGTGTCTTCATGGGCCATGAATGGGCGATGCATCCTCGATTGCCGTGTTCGGCGGGAGTGCCAATTGAAGCTCCCCGCCTGCGCCCACGCGCGAGCCTCGAGGGGAAGCGAAGCATGGGGGCGGGGGGCTCGGGAAAGGCGACGCAGGCAACGTGCGCTGAGGGCGCAAAAAGACACAAAAAAAAAAGGTGCGGTCCCCCCCTCCGAGGGGGGACCGCACTGGGCGGCAGCAGGCCGGCCTGGCCCTCCTCCGAGCTCGCGTGCGGTGCCGGCACCTGGGGGCGCGGCAGGCGCCCGCGGCCCGGGCCGGCAGGCGGGGGGGCCGCGTGGGCACGCCCGAAGGGGCTGTGGGGGAGAGGAGGGGCCGGGGGGGAGCAGAGACAGCGCTGTCCTCCTCCTCCTCCTCCTCCTCCTCCTCCTCCTCCTCCTCCTCCTCCTGCTCCTCCTCCTCCTCCTCCCCTCCTCCTCCTCCTCCTCCTCCTCCTCCTCCTCCTCCTCCTCCTCCTCTTCTCCTCCCTCCTCTTCTCCTCCTCCTCCTCCTCCTCCTCCTCCACCTCCTCCTCCTCCTCCTCCTCCTCTTCCTCCTCCTCCTCCTCCTCCTCCTCCTCCTCCCCCGATCGAGCAGGCCGACTGGGCCACCGCCGCCGCCATCGCCCCCGCCTGCCGGCCGAGGCACCGTCGGCGGCCTCGCGGCGGCGCCCGTGCTCGAGGCGCGCCCATGCCATGCTGGGGGTGGGAGGAGGGGGGAGGGCTGCTTAGAAGGAGGCTGCTTCTCAGGAGGCGCCGGCCCTGCATCTATGTATAGAGAAGGCCCGCGCCTCCTAGGGAGCAGGAGTGCGTCTAAGAAGCCCTCCCCCCTCCCCCCACCCCCCTCTGCGCGTGGCTGATAGACGCTCGTTCTAGGGGCCTTCCTGGAGCCACTCGCTCCACTCGTGCGTCGATGCTGCGTCGAACGCCCGCCGACTCGAGGCGAGCTGGGGGGGCAGAGGCAGCGTTAGACGCTCGTTCTAAGAGGCCTTCCTGGAGCCGCTCAATCCACTCGTGCGTCAATGCTGCGTCGAACGTTCGCCGACTCGAGTCGAGCTCGCTGAGTTGAGCTAGGGAGTCGAGACATAGTGAAACTCGATCCGAATAGGAGTCAAACAGATCTAGACGCGATGGACCCAGGCATCCGGCTGCTCCCATGTTTTCGATGCGTGGGCCCCGGAGGTCTGGACCACTTCTCTAAGGCCCGTTTTTCGTCCTGGGTTTTTTTCACAGTGCTGGGTCCCGGCGAGGGCCCCCGGAAGCCGAAAACGGCCTAAAAGGGCCGGCTCCAATGTTTTGGGAGCGTCGGATCGCTAGGGAGACAAGGAAGGAAGGGGGCGGAGGAGGAGGAGGAGGAGCAGCAGCAGCAGCAGGAGGAGAGGGGGAGGGGGAGAGGGAGGGGGACGGGGAGGGGGAGGAGGAGGTGAGGAGGAGGAGGAGAGGAGGAGGAGGAGGAGAGGAGGAGGAGGAGGAGGAGGAGGTCAGCTTCCCAGGACACCCCCCCCGCAACCGGGGGGGGGGGGGCAGGGATACAAACTGCGCGCCGCGCAGCGGGACTCCAGGCCCCTCCTGCCCCAGGCGAGGGGCGCAGGAAGGAGGGGGGGAGCGGGCAGGGGACGCCGGGAGGGAGGAGGGAGGAGGAGGGAGGGAGGGAGGGAGGGAGGAGGAAGGAGGGGAGGAGGGAGGAGGGGAGGCGGAAGGGAGGAGGGAGGAGGGCGGAGGGCGAGGGAGGAAGGAGGAGGGACGGAGAGGAGGGCGGAGGGAAGGAGGGAGGAGGCGGAGGAAGGAGGGAGGAGGAGAGCGGGAAGGGAGGAGGAGGAAGGGGAAGGAGGAGGAAGGAGGAGGAGGAGGAGGAGGAGGAGGAGGAGAGAGGAGGGAGAAGGAGGAGGAGGAGGAGGAGGAGGAGGAGTGCAAACCCAAGAATTATCAACGATGTTGGCACAAACCCTCCCTCCATGCTCCCTCTTCATAGGCCCCTACAACGGTTCATTTTCATGGAGGGAACTGCCTCATTAAAAGACAACCGTCGGAAGACCCCAGGATTCCAACGCCGCCCTCAGCCCATGAAACCCTTGCAAATGTTTAAAACAAATGTGCATGGCGCTAGGGCGAGAGCCACAGTTTGAAAACGGGTCGCCCTTAATCCATGAGACTCTCGCAAATGTTTAAAGCGAATGTGCGCGGCGCTGAGGCGCGAGCCACATTTTGAAAACAGGTCGCCCTCAATCGGCGAAACTCTTGCAATTGTTTAGAACATGTGCGGCGCGCTAAGGCGAGAGTCACATATTGAAAACGGGTCGCCCTCAATCCGCGAAACTCTTGCAATGTGTTAAACGAATGTGGGCCTCGCCAAGGCGAGAACCACATTTTAAAAACGACCCGCCCTCCATCTGTGAAACTGTTGCCAATTGTTAAGCTTAGTCCGCAACGGTGAAGACATCAAAGGCGAAACGCCCGACCCGCCCAAAAGACTGGCCCCGGGCGCGACAGGGAAAAATTACCTATTTATAGAGAAAAGGAATGGATGAAGGAGGAGGAGGAGGAAGAGGAGGAGGGAGGAGGAGGAGGAGGAGGAGGAGGAGGAGAAGGAGGA